ACTTCTATTTTCTGAGTAAGACATAGACTTCCATTTTTAGAGCATAGCATTTGTTTTTTCTCTTTCTGTGTTTGATAGAAAAAAAACTGGAGAGATATGAAACCAGGACGACATCTTTTACTTTAATTTGCTTTGTACTGAAGTAAATAGTTAGTTAGATAGCAGGAAAGTCAGTCTTGCCTTAGAAAAACTGCTTAGAATATTTATTGTTTTTTTTTAGTTTTACTCCAGTTTTTAAAAGCATAAAAATGTACTCCGAAATTGAGTTTGCCCCCCTCCCGGCCTCCAGATATCGGGGCGCCCCTGATATTGGCACTATAAAAAAGGCTTGCAATACTAAGTACGTATATTTCGCCAGTATNAGTTCTCTTAGACCTCATACGCTGAAACAAATGTTTAATGCATCAGATATAGAGATCTGTTGATGGAGAAGCCAGAAAAGTGGCTGAAGTCAACGAGATTTCTACGGGCTATCTTTCCTCAGACAACTTTGCATGTTATGTCTACATTTAAAAGTCAGAAGTCAGAAGTACTAGAATTATTATTGAAAGCAGGGAAACTGCTCCTACATGTACATATACCTGATGGTGCCGGCGGTTTAGCAATCAATCTAACCATATCTTTTATTGTTCCATCCGGTTGTTTACATGAATAAATACCACTATCATTTTTCTGAAGATTATCTATTTGTATTGTATGAGCAAAATAGCTATATTTCCTTTGTTGTCTATCTGATGGTAATAATTTCCCATCTTTATACCAAACATCAGTATCACCAGGACCAATAATACCAGACTTATTTAGCGGCGAATCACAATAAATGCCGTAACCGTTACCAGGTCCTATAGTTCCATATTTCGTTTCTATTGATGGTTTAGCTTTAATTAGATAAAAAGATACAACACATGGGAGTCGTTTTAAAAATAAAGAGTGGCACATTAGCATCCGTACGTATTATTTAATTGACCACTATTTTTTTGACTTTTTTCGATAACCGGATCAGTTAGAGGGTTCATTTGTACAAAAAGAATGGGACTCGGCGCTGCAGACAAGTCCTGAAGACAACCGAGACAGTTTTAAAAGATTCTTTATAAGAAGGTGGCAGCAAAATGTCAGGAATATCAAAAAAATTTTTAGAAGAGCTGTTTTTTGTTGTTGAAATACTCAGTCAAATAGCCTCCGTCATGTTGTCATGTGTTTTTTCCAGTTAGTTTGAGACGGTTTTCTTGATCTGTTATATATACATATAACAGCTTATATGACTTTCCAACCACTTTTCTGGCTTCTCCATCAACAGATCTCTATATCTGATGCATTAAACATTTGTTTCAGCGTATGAGGTCTAAGAGAACTATGTACCAACTTTTGAAAAATAATGATCGAAAGGACTAGGATAGAAGACTTACATACCTATTTTGATATTCTAAACTACTACAATCATCAGCAAAAATTAGAAGTATGAGCAACTCTATGAGTTCTACAAACTGGCTGAAATGGAAATAACTTTTGAGAAAAATTCAGTTTTTCTAGACCGGATTCTGGTTAAACAATTACGAATAGCACAAAGGGAAGCTCTCATGGTTATATTCGGTACCAGCACCATCGATTACATAAAATTTGACATTTTTCATGGAAAAAGCAAGCACCATGTCAAAACAAGGTGTATTTTGCACTTTTGTCTATTGTGACGAAAAACGTAACGACGTAACGCGGGCGTTTGACGAAAACATATTTTGTAGATTAATACATTAGATAGCCCGTCGAAAGCTAGCGATATCTGTCGAATTTTTATCAAAAAATATTTTTATTCTAATCTGAATTGATTAAGAAGAATTTTTCCGTTACGCCGTTAATGCGATGACTTTTGTGATTGATACTACCAATACAGCCGTAATTAAAATTGAACTTTCATCATACAACTTGTCCAAACGTAACGCAGTGACATTGGTGACACAGTAGTTCCCAGTTTTCGAAAGTAGGAGACCTAGAGACAATAGAACTGAACATTTTTGATCTTTTGTTTATCTGATATTTATGTCCAAACAAATAAAACAATGTGGAGTGGTGAACTCAATTAGTTTAACAAAACTTAGAGCGACGTCTTTGCATGATCGAACGAGTGGACTTAAGCATCCAAAACAAAGGTGAAAAATATATTTCTACATAAAATCTGCAAATTGACATTAGTTGATTGTTCAGATTTTGACGCCGAGACCGTCTTATCGAAAGTGATCGTTATGTGGACAAACAAAAATCCCAAAAGTCTCACGCTTTCTTCGAGTTCTTTTTCTTCTCGCTACCTTCATTACAGCGTGGAATTTTTCTTCTTCTTCAAATTCCGACATTAGCAGAGGCAAATTCTCACAATCTTTTATACGACTTCACGTTTTTCTGCCTTCGTTGTAGTCTCGAATATCATTTGAAGTTAAAAATATTCAGATAAACTCTCAGATTTCTTTCGAATCACCAAGTCTAAATTCACTCTCCATTCAAAAAGTATCGATGTTGATTCTCAATACTTACTACGACGTTGCGACGCTGTTGAAACTACGTTAAATAAAATTAATAGAACCAATGGTGAATAATAATACATAACTATTGTTGTAAGCTTTTCAGTATAAAAAGAACGTATGTTATAATCCAAAGAAAAAAGTTCTTGTTGTCTATATAAACAGTTTAGTTCGCAGCGTTCTTTCTATTTTCTTTCTCCTTTTTCTACTGTGCATGTGTAGTATATACTTTTTATTCTTAATCTTCTGCCTAGTACTAGATAGACGTCATCATATTAGTTATTTATATTTGTCGAACGGATAACAAAATGAAAACATTAATACAATCGAAAGAAGATGTTGATACATTGATAAATTGTCATCGCCATTAAAGATGATACCAATGATAAATTTCTTTTTTCTACGTACTTTGCAACTCTCAGTTTGTGTAACAACTGTGATTCAAAATGGCCTCAATGATTGGACCAGCATTTTCTGGGATTTTATATTTTCCCCATGTCCAACGCACAGTGGGCATCCAAGCGGACATTAGGCCGAAAATTCAAATAATTCGTATATCAAATATAAATAGTGTAAAATGTAGCCCTTGAAATTCTCTATCGAATGGTGTATAAATGTCTATTGTGAAAA